TAAAACGTCAAACCAGTCGTTACTCGAAAGTCGTACGTTTTATTATTTATGTGTAATTCAGTAAAAAAAAAAACATGTTTCTACTGTCTTCATAACTTTTATCTCTACTTAGATTTAAAATACACTGGATTATTAAATGTTCGGCAGATAATCTGACGTATAGAGAATTGTGACTACTTTTTAACTACGACGAATACAAAGTAAACCCATATACAGGGGCCTATTTGATTAGTAATGAATCCATGCCAAATACGGAGACTATTATATGTTAATATGGGTATTTGATTAGGAACGAAACAGTTAGAAATGTACGTGTTTGTATTAAGATGTTTTGTTTCATGAAAATGTTTAATTTTTGAGAATACTATTGTTAGTACACGAAAACTTAAACATAAATATCTAATATGAAATTCCATCAGCTGCCTCTCTTTAAACAAGTGAATAGTCAAATAACAATCACTAAAAACCATTCAAAACTAATTAACAAAATACACTCTCGTAACTCTTACTACCTTCTGATCAAACACAAATTAATAGGCTTCATCTGGTGACAAATGACCTAAAAAAAGAATATCTAGTCGGAATACAAAGGAAAAATTCTAACTGGGCGAAATCGTGTCGAGGTAGGATTGCAGAGCCATAAAGTCAAGATTTAGCTCACACCTTGAAGTGTATAGGTCTAGAAAGGTGAAATTAGTTAATGCCCACTTCCCACAACTCTCACTTCCTTAGTAAGTTTGAGCAAATAAACTTACAAAGTCTGAGCAAATAAAATTGTTTTTCCATCACCCATTTTTCTCCCCCACCCCCAATTTAATCCTACTAACATAGAGCAAATGTAATGTGTGTAACAAGGAAACACGTACAAATGAAAATGAGGCAAACTAAGAGAATGAATAAGCGTTCAGGTGCGACATTTGAGGCAGTCGAGGAGTTTGCAGAACATCTTAACCCTTTATTTATGGCTTTTACTGAACTTTAAAAGGTTATAAAGATAGCAATAACTCTCCCAGTTAACACAGCCGGCTGTGAAAGAAGCTTTAGAAAACTAAAACTGATCAAAAATCACCCTAGAACCAATATGGCAGATAAGAGACCGAAGAGTCTAACAGTAATTAGTGTGCACAGAGAACGTGCTCTTTCCACTGATCTTGATGATGTTGTTGACAGGTTCGTTACTAAGTTTTCAAATACAAGGTCGACGTTGAGTTAACCTATAAGAGGAGGATCGTTCGGTTGGTGTCAAGTTCATGCTTTTGACCATTATTCATCAGTCCATTTTTAAAATAACTTGTTATACCTCCCCCCCCCCAAAAAAAGAAAAAGATGAAATTACAAGATATACTAGAATGGTCAAAAACCTTCTGATTCTTTCCAAGGTCTGTGAGTACTTTGAGGCTTCAAAATTCAATACAAAGTACTTTTTAAAACCCAACGTTGGCTCAATGTAACTTAGCATGCTAAAATTTGGGAGGAAAGTCCTAAGGATGTGATGTAAAGTTTCTAGTATATTTCAAATTAGATTATATATATATACGAAATAGTTAAGAGTTTGTATAGTTAGTTTGTTTCAAGAAAATAGAGTTGTTTCGATCAGTGTGTGAAGTACTTTGGACCTACATTAGCCATCACGCTTACTGAGATGCTTAATGCAAGTAAGTTAATCCTACGTTAGTCCTAGTTTTTTTTGATAAAAGAATTAGCACAAAGGATCACATACATTGCATGTGATCCTTTGTGCTAACTTTTTTTATTAAAATTGATATTCCACTGATGGACCACGGACCCGATTTTACCAATGGTAAGCTACCTCTTCTTTCACCTTACATTGCAAACTATTCGAAAGCGCTCGAGTTTTGGGTCTTATTCTAAGTCTATTAGTCCTAGTTCTGTTGAAGGTTAATAAGTCATTTGTAACGTAGACCTAGGACAATTTACGCCAGTGTACAAATCTTGTTGAAACCTTAAAGGTGGAGAGTTTGTATCCAAACTTTAAGCAGCTAATTAACTAATCAAACACATTAATGATAATAGTCATGAAATTTATTCAATTCTTTAAATCAAATGTTATAGTTCTCAAGTTTAATAACACTTGACAAAATTAAGAAAAAAACATTTAAACATTTATAATTCCCACACTGATTGTTATTAATCATGCCAAATATGATTAAATCAAAAACAAGCATCCCTTATATTGCATTTCTAATAACACTCACTATTTCTTCGATATTGATTAGGATCAGTCATAAACAATTAATAAAACATGATGTCATTTAAGTATTTCTTTGCAATTCTGGCAGAGTTTGTAAAGAAATGTAGGTTATAAATATTAGTCAATATATGAAAAGACATTTATTGATTAGTGAATGACTGCCAAGAGTATATTGGTTGAATTATTGAAATTTAGTCCTGAATGCACTAGGGTTTAAACATCAAATTTCAGTTACATAAAAAAAAAACGCTATGATCTGACTGAGATAGTTAAACAAATATTTGACACATTAAAAATGCATAACAAAATAATTTCTTTTGTATTGTTCATTTCAATATAATGTTTTATTGTTGTTGTTTTACTTTTTAAAGCTTCAGTCAACCACAGACTGAGAGGTCAACCTGTAAAACTCAAGCTTTTGAGAATGTTAACTCAGCAAAATTTACACCTGGTAAAACATTCCAACAATTTTTGTAACTAAATATAGGAAACTATAGTAAATAAGCTGTAGCTGAAAGATGTTTCCAGTACAGAAATAATACCCGATTAAAAAATAAAAAGAGAGCAAAACTTAACTAACTCCAACTTTTAAAAGATTTTTGGTAGAATAAATTCTTATAGGTTAAAGTAAATGCAACATGCTTATAAATATAATTTCCATGTGTTTTTATGAATTTCAGAAAAATTATGTTAGGACATACATTTTCAATAACACAGTGTTCTACTGCTCATTTGCTTTTGAATATATAACCTGATAATTAAAAATTATTTGGATTCAATTTAAGTCCATAATTTTAGTAAACACATGGTTTTCATTTATTAAACATTGGATATTTCTAAAACTTTAAATTTTCAACATAAATGATGTCCATAATTATCACTAAAGTTAGTCAACTAATGTTTCTTTTACCCTGTTAGTTAACAGAAACAAATATTGAGGATAAAGTTTGATATATATTTCAGTAACATGAACATAACTGTTGATCATAATATAAAACTTAATAAAGTTACAATTTCAATAAATACCTTTATAAAACCATTAGAAATATAATAAAAATATAAAAGGAAACACTCAGAAAAATCTGAAAGACACTGTGCAATAAAAATAACTTGTTGACAACTCATTTAAAATATAACTAGGAAATCTGTAGGTATATAGGCTATTATAAATATACTTTGTTTGCAGCCAAAGATTTAGTATTATAACAACAACAACAAACAGATATCATATTTGAAACGGCAATAGTTAAAACTCTGATTTAAACAACATGCAAAAACTTTATATTTTTATATCTCTTGAATGTATATTTTAACTAAATTCAGAAATTTACACTCAAGTTTGTAATGAAAACACAACTTTGGGAACTGTTTCTTTCTTTTAGGCTCCTCCTACCAGGGCAATCAAAACATGTTTGTAGTCTCCAGAAGTGTCACTCTGTAAGTTTTACCAAAAAAAAGAAGAAATTATTTAAGAAAATATAACTTCATAAAGTTTCTTTCTTCAATATGTGTCAATATAACCTAACTAGCTATCATGAAGAAAGCAAAACAAAATATGACTGACTTGACTACTGTGAAGACAATATAACAGCAAATGGGTCAGTTAATATGTTTTATTTAGTTATGATGAAGGCAATGTTAATTTTCTTTCTGTTCTGTCATTTTGTCATTTAAAAGATATCCAAAATTTGTTAATTTAAGTTTAGAACTGACTTTCTCTCTTTCCATCACTGTATAAGGATCGTTAAAGCAAACAAATCTGTTAAAATCAGCTGGAATTAACTATAAAACCAGTAAAATTGTATTGGAACATTTGCTAATCTAATTTTGTATGAAATTTTCCATGAAAAACTAAATTGGTATAAAACGCAAAAACTCCTTCAGCACAATATCTGTAAAACAATTACAATCTTATTACTTCTAGATCTAAGTTTTGAAATTTCTATTCATATTGCAAATTGAAAACAAGTTTTAATGTCACTTTGAGAACTGAACATGTGTAACACAAGTTGAACCATCAGAATTTCTAATTTGTCCAATAAGCTTATATCTCAAAAATATCAGGTTAATGTTAGAAAAAGAAATTAATAGCATTGCAACTGTGTACAAGTAAAAAAGTATTTTTTCTACAGCTTGTATAAAAATGGCGTGTCACTTAATCTGATATGTAGTCAAAATCTGAATCTTGAAATTTATGCAAAATTTCCAACAAATATCATGTGTGAGAACAGATTCAACATTTCTTTAATGTATCTACAAGTTTCTTTTTTTTTTTGTATGAGAGTCGGCTCTATAGAATCATGTTAACTTGGGGACACTCTCTCTTAAGGCAAGACTCAGACTCAGTTGTATACTAGCCTAGGTTACAAGGGAAAAAAAATGCTAGAAAAGTTTTTTCTTCCTTTTGCACATGTACAATCAATTTCCCTGATGTGATTTGCACTACTACCTTGAGTTGTATAATAGGGTATTGTTCTGTGTATTCTAAACCATGGTTTAAACATTTATGTTCTGTGTAAAATCTGTGGCCTGACTTATTCTTTCTTGCCCAACAACCAAACCCATTGGGAAACACATCTGCATACAAGATCTGTATACCTCCTGTTATTGCAGGCCCAGACTTCTATTTTTTGCTGAAAGTCTTTGAAATAATACCACACTACCGAGTGGTTAAAAAATTAAAACAATATTACATGCAGTCACAAATGAATTACTACAGCAGAAATCTTATCAAACAAACTGCATGAGAGATACATTATTGCTTGGCCTGTCAGCATCTATAAGAGACATTTCAGTGATCAATGCTCTGGTTAACTTTACTGCTTTTGCATCTATTCATGAGTGATTGAAGGGAAGCCAGAATTATGAATTAGGTCAAACTCTCCACCTTTACACACAGAATGAGATAACAGTTATTTTAGTCTGTAAATATTCCTGAGATTTCAAACTTTTACAAGATAATTAAATGAAAGTGTTGTTTCCTAAGATTGTGTGCTGTAACCACCGATGCCAGCTTTCCCATGCTAACTTCATTCAATACATATACATAAAAAAGCTTCAACTTAACTTTTAAAAAGGAATAATAAAGTACTATTTCATTTCAATATCATTTTTTCATCTGTTATCCATTCCCTTGTTCTTTCAGAGTTAAGTGCTTAAATTGACTCTCATTGTTAAAATGGGCAAGTTGAAGAGAACGACTATCAAGTTATGCAGACAAGTGGAGATTGAAAATTTATTTAAATTTTTGAAACTAAGAAACCAATTTTTATATAATATTAAAATTTGATTTATTAAATACTTTATGATGCCAGGTTTTTTTTGTATCCATTGATAAGTGGTTTTATTAAATGTTGAATATAACTGTAAAACAGTAGTGACATGCACACTTTTACCTGCCCATAGCAAAAGTAAATGCACTAAAATTTGTGAGAGGGAACTAACTTATTTAATTGACAAAGCCTCATCTAGAGCCCTTATATTCTGTTTAAGTGGGAACCTAGCTATAGTTTCATTAATCTATTAATGCTGCCTTCATACTCCATAACAATTAATGTTAAGCAAAAAAGAACGTAGACAAAATAATGTTTATGTACAAAATATGCATAATGATATACTAAATATACTGGACTTAACCTATATGCACTTTTTTGGTGGTAATGATAATTTATTTTTTGCCATCTGTGTGTTAGAAGCATCACTGAGTTACATGAAATCCATTGGACTTTTCCTAGTTTTTGTCTGTAAAATGAAATTTCCTGATGTTATCCATGCTGGGGATAGCAAAATATGAAATTCATTGACCCATTAGAACCATAGACAGAGAATAACAAATTAGTGGGGTCAATCTCTGTCTAAATAGTCAGATAACTGAATCGTTTTTCACATCTGTGGATATGAAGTCTAAAATTACATATAATCAGTTTGTCCTCAGTTCAGTTTATGAGAAAACGTTTCTATTATTTGGTTAATAGAACTCTGTAGCTATAATTGGGTGACTAGCTCAATTATTATGAACATTAATTACATCCATTAGTGTCACGTAAAATAACTGAATGATCATAATTATGATTAACTCAATGTCATGAAAATATCCAGCTAGTATTTCTGATTATTACTGTTTTCAATTATTCCAACTATCTAGTCATTGAAATTATGATTACATCAATTAATGTCTGCTTGTTAGTTGAATTTCAAGCAAAGCTACTTGTGGGCTATCTGCACTAGCTGTCCCTAGTTTAGAAGTTATAAACTATAGGGAAAGCAGGTAGTCAACACTATCCACACAACACTTGGGCTATTCTAATTGCATAATAATGATTGACCATCACATTATAACACTCCCACTGCTGAAAGGGTGGCCATGTTTGGTGATGGTAATTGAACCCACAGATTGTGAATCAAGCATCATAACCACCAGGTCATGATAGGAATCAATTAACATAAGAAAATAATTAAATAATTGAAATTAGTGTTTCTGATTGTTCCACCTAACCAGTAATCAAAATACTGTCATTTTTATTTGTGATTAATTCAACTTTAACTTTGTTTAGCCAATTAATCAATGTCACAATTCAGGAAAATAATTAAATAATCAATATTAGGGTTTCTGATTATTATTATTATTTTTGATTATCTAAGTAATTGAAATATTGCTTTTACATTTGTTTGTTGTGAAAAACTAAATTACACAATGGACTGTCTGTATTCTCCCCATCTTTGTACTGAAACCTGATTTTTAGCATTATAAGCATTGTTTTGTTTTAGCTATCTTATGTGAGAATAAATGATTTGTTGAATGTAATTTTTTAATGAATCCAACAATTAATTGATCAGTACATTTCACTAATCACCCAGCTCTGTCTGTAGCTTTCTATTTTGGCAATTGAAATTTCATAATGAAAAGATGTCTGAAAACCTGAATCAATATTCTGAAGAAGTTTTAGGTCTCTTCAATAAAAGTAACAGTTGAAAACCTTTTATCAAAGATGTTCCATCATCATGCTTCTTCTACCTGTGTACTTTCTGAACAAAGCCAAAACTTTCTTACAGTTGTGAAATGTAGGCTTAAATTGACTTTTGGTGCATTTATGATACAGAACTTGAGTTAAAGTTTTTTTGATAAATTAGGTTTTACTCTCTCTAACGTTAGACATATGTTTCAACTTGAAGCCCACAGTTTTACCCAAGCACTCATGAAATTCCTCCAAAGTAGTTTAACTCATTTATTATTATTTTACTTTATTCAACAATTTTTTAAAAGTTTTTAGAAACTTTTTTCTGTAAATTAACGGAACTATAGACAATTTTCTTTCCTAAAAACAATTTTTAAAATGCCACTAAATTTCTTATAATTTATGAATGTTATATTTTAAGATATGTGCAAGACCTCAGCTAACAGATGTTTCCGTATATCAAAGCTATTTTCAAGTTTTGAAAAACTTTTTCAAAAAGTTTCTTATCCTTAGTTTGGTGTAAAGAAAACTTGACAGAATTAATTACTTTTTTTTTTTCAAAGAGAGAGAGGTTTACATTCATATCAGTAAAACACAACTCAAGTAAATTATACTTACAGAAATGGCATGCTCCAAGGATTTACCAAACAATTTCTGATACTCCTGCTTAATCTGTACCATGTCTATCTCACAACGAGTTGTAATAAGACGAATTAACGTATGATCATCAGTTCCCATGCCCTGCAGCAAAAGATGATAAAATCAAATTATAACAGTGAGCAACAGTCTTTCATGTGTAATAAAAGGCATCAATTCATACTATAGGCTTCCATACACTGAAAAACATCACAGTTTACACCATCCTCTAGTGGTAAAGAGAACGACTGTTATTGGTCAGCTACACAGAATTCAGATCAACACACAGAAAACACAAAACAGCAGGACTAACTACTAAACAATTAATAAGGAAGAGAAGAACTGGGGGATGACTAACAAGCAGAGTACACTTAAAGTACATATAGTTAACCAACAAAATGATGATAACCTAAAATGCAACTGGGTAGAAAAGTTAATGATATCATCATACATTAAAAGCCAAAAACAAATAAATATTATGGCTGGCTTTTATTATTAACTAGCCTATAAATTGTTGCTTTCTAACATTGTTTACAACTATGTAATTTGTTTCTTATTTCTTGAATTTAAATCCATTTTATTGTTATCTTTGTGCTCCTAATAATCAATATTACATTTTGAGTAGCCTCTTTTTAATTGTCATTACTCTTTATTTTAGAATTGTTACAAACATTTCTGTTATACTGTTCCACAACAATGAATTTCTCACATGTTCCACTCATGGAAATGTGAGCTTTGTTGGTTGTTCTTCTACTTTTCTATTGTAACAATTTGTGCTCTTTATTGTCAATAGAACTTCTCTTGAGAGCTTAAAGCCAAAATGTTGGGGTAATAAAGTAATTTACAGGGTATTTGATTTCTAAAAGAAATGTGTATTATACTCTAGTCAGTACTGATTTAAAATTGTTCTTTAATATATTTCAGGATATCAACTAGCCATGTTGAAATGTTGTTACTCTCTGTGTTACATAATGAAAATTTAAAAAAATTGTCACTCAAACCAGGTTTTTAAAAAGATACTGAAAAGCAGATATTCAGCTGAAGTAGGATTCTCTATTGCTCAAAATAATCTAAATGCTTACTAAATGTGAGACATCAATGCCAGCTAAAACCATTTTAACAGGGAATATTAAGATATGACTGAATTGTTCCATAAGGAAAGAGGATGTACAGAAAAAACATGCAAAATTTTAAAATACCACCAAGAAAGAGGTGGCAGAAAAAAATCATTCAATCAATAACAGTAACAAAAAAATGCTAAAATTAGACTTAAAAAAGATCCTTTACTTACTGCATTACAATACACATCTTTAAGTAACAATTACAAGTTATGATTATCCTAGTTCTAATGTAGTTTTAAAAGAAGATACTTTTATTTAGGCTCATATAATAAATCTTCTAGAGCAATTATTTTAAAGCAGTTGTACATGAGGATGTTGTTTAGTATTAAATTTTTTACTCTAATTCAAGATATGTAATTTTTTAATGTGGCAATAAAAACGTTTTAAGATATCACTAATTATCTGAGTAATTTTACAACATACATATTTCACATTGGTGCACAGAAAGCATGGGTTTAGTCAAGCATTATGCATTTGACAACCTGTTCTAGAGTAACATCCACATTCTGCTCCCCACCAGTAAGAAACTATGAAAATATCTTAGAAAAGTGAACAACTCATCACATCTCAACTACTTTACCATGACTACCTGGAACACTCTGATTTAAATTAGATACCAAAAGCTTTCTTTTCAGCTTTAAAAGTCATTTAGATCAACCTAATTTAACTATAAGGGAATGGAAAGCCTTACAGGAATTAAAACATAAAAGCAACCTCATAGTTAAAGTTTTTGACAGCATCCTACAGGAACAAAAAATTATCATTTAGAGTAAACTCTTAACTATGCAAAGCTTTAGTAAGATCATATATATGTAAGATAGACTCAAGACAAAAACAAACTTGATAACCTTAAATCTTTTGGCCCCAATACCTGTACTACTTGACTAAAAACTTGTATAAATATTTTAGAATTTTATAAAAAAATAGAGCTTAAAACATATTTTTTGTATTAAAAATACTAAAATAGTGTAATTTAAACATGATAAAATGCCTTTTGAGTTATGTTTATGAATAAATTCTGAACAAATTCAAACACCCGTTCATTTTCTTATATTTTTATTAAATGAATCAAAAAACAGCTTGAAATGCATGAAAATTAAACAAAGTATCTTGTGTGACTAATAAAAGCTCAGCAAAAACATGTAGGTTTATTGATGAGAGAAAAACCTATACTAATATTAGACCAGTAGGTTCTCATGCAGACTCTTTTTAGCCCTCTGACTGCTTTAAATGCACACAGAATTTGTACACAGCACATTCATATTCAACTGCCAGAAGCAGACTGTACCCCATACAGTGAATCAGCAGTCAATGGGTTAAAGGTTAACATAAATTCACAAACCTAGTTGTCTTATTTGACCCATTGTTTCTAACATAGTGTTTTAGCCATTAGTTGGTTAAATCTTTAGGTTCTTTCTTAACTGATTTTACTTGTAACACCTACACCCTAAAAGATTTTGAATTTTCCCAGAAAATTTCTAATATAAGGTTTCGTGGTGATGATTTTCTAGTGAACTTGGATATTATGTGAGGCTCTTTTTATAAACATTACACTAAAAAAAGCCTATTAATATATGTATTGATTTAATTTTGGTAAAAATCAAGCAATAACAGGTTTAACACTCTGGATACATTTAATTAAACTATTTTATTATCAATGTATGTCAATAAACTCAGCACCAAAATGTACTTCATAAATAAAATGTTAATATTATACGAGTTTTAATTTCTTAATTTCAAAATGAAATATTTAAATAATTTGTCAACCTTCACTGCCATTCATCATGTGAAACTTGTTTGCTACAAATTGTACATTCATCTTTCAATCCCTATTTCAGTTTCTGAAATTTAATATGAATTACAAAGTTATAGTTTTGGAACTGTTCAGATATAAGTTTATATCCTTCAATCATTTTGAGTTATAGAAATATAAATCATCTCAACACTATACAACCAACAATAAAATTTGCCTGAAATTATTAACACCACTTTTTCTCTGCTAGATGTTTTATTAACTTAAAAGAATGGGCTGATCCACACTTCTTTACACAAAAAAAATAACCTTCCATTAAAGATCATACTATTCTCCAGTAGAACAGAGAGGGACCAGTATTCAGAGTCCATGTTCTGATAAATTTACAGAAAACAACTGAATATTTACTGCTAAGCAATATAGCAAAAACAGTCCTCTTCTAAGTAGGACTGAAGAGAACACATAAATTTATATTCATAATTTGTTCTAAAAATGTGATTTTTGTTAATTTATTTAACATCACATATTGTGTATTTTACACCAACTTGCATTCCTTTATATAACCATAATCTACAATTAATCTGAAATTAAAACAGTACTGAAACTCACCTTCATGCTTTTGTGTATCCTCTCAGCAAAATATACAACTTTGTTCTCTACACATTTTGCTATAATAAACAAGACCAAGAACTCATAAAAACATAATCGTTTCAGAATGAGATAGATTCTGTTTTAAGGCAGTAATAACAATATGTACTTTACTAAGCAGTGTAAAAGTACTCTCTAAATTACTCAAATATTCTTGTAAAAGTGGAAATTTGCTCAATGAAGTCACTTTTATGATTTTAAAATCATATCAAAAGGAATTTAAGCTTAGAATTAAACTTATAATTAATTGATTACATAAATGTATCAATTCTTCAAGTTATCACAAGTCAAATGCTTAAAATTTGGGTTTTCATTCAATGATTTAGGAAGTTGATTACCAAATTAATTCTGGGGATATAGTAAATGTAACTACTAGCTTCATAAAAAAATGTATGTATGAGACTGTACTTATATATATTTTATCATCCTAATTTATATGTATGAACTCTGGCTGTTGAGAAATATATAAAGTTTAAAAGTAAAATGATAAGGAGTATCCTAGTTTATCGTTAATAACTCTTCCAAACAAGTGCATAATATTAGATTACATTGTTAATAAATTTGCATTTCTAAGTCTTATAATGTATTCTTTGTAATTAGTTCTAAAAAATCATAATGAGCCTGCTCATTTGTGTGATAGATAGACAAACATATTCCATTCTACTTGATTATTATGATGACTACAATAAATTTATAAACTCAAACTAAGTAACTGAGTTTCAGAGTTAGTTCTAAACATAAAAAGAATACTCTCTCTAACTTTTTATGTATGGAAAGGTCAAAAAGCACATGTCAAAACCTTTTACAGAGTTACATTCAAAATTAAACAACTTTTTATCAATGTATGTCAATAAACTTGGAACTAGTTTATAATTCATATTCTTACATTAGCTAAGTTTTAATTTCAAAAGGAAATATTTATAAAAATTCTCAATCTTCACTTGTCTGTGTCACTTGACACCTTGTACTTTAAATTCTCCCCTTTATATTTTATGACATGAATAATACAGCTTTTAAGATGTCCACCCAATTAGAAACAATAACTAAATATAATTATAAGCAAGAATAGGAAATTTGAACCCCCTTGATATTCTGAGATATCAATAAATCCATCTTTTTTATGTCTTTCAAGAAAATTATGTAATCAAGCGTGTATTGTTGATGGATATGTATATAACCAACAGAAAAGACATATTTTCCTCTACATAAACCATATGAGCTTTTGTTTATTTTTGGTGGTGAAAGACAGTAGTTAAGAAATGTTTGATTTATGTTGAGCAAAGCCATTATTCTGAGCAGTAGCAAAATTTGTTTAATCTATTTATAGCTTAGTTAAAAACCGAAATAAATTATATTAGTTTTGGGACATTATATTCTAGTGAGTGATATATTTTGTGTGTTCTAAAATGTATATTTGAAATTCAAGTTAATTTCATTTTAGATAAAAAACTTGGTAAGAAAAAAAAAAGCTTAGCAGAGTTGCAAATGCACAGTACAAAGTTTGTACAGTTCAAGTGCAAGAAAAGTAAAATGTACAAGAATTTGTTAGTGTGTTTCTGCTGTGATTTATTGCTTTTCATGAGTGGATAAATCACTTCTGTGGTACAAGCCAGCAAAAAAATTTTTTAAAGAAAACAGATGTGAAAAGTTTATCAGTTGAAATGAACTTGTGAAGGTAAGTAATCTGAAAACCTTCAATCAATTATGCATTCATAGAAGAAAAAAAAGGGTATTTTTCAAATTTTCATTTCACTGTACAGTGATGATTTTGTTTTGATACAGTTAGTTAGGGTAGAGAAACTAAGATAAGGTATAAAGGTTTATCAAAAATCTTTTTGATATTCATTTAGAAGCTTTCAGAGAATAAGCAAATGAAATATGAATAATGAAAAGTTTTTATTCTTAACATGAAAATCACTTTTCACTGAAACTCACTAAGTAAAGGCTTTGTAAATTCACAGACAAATCTATATTAAAAATACTTTATTAAAACATCTGATTTTTAGTGTACAACAGACTTGTAATGTTTACTAAAAAAAAGCTTGCCAAATTTCATGAATAGTATATGTAGTTTCAAGATTACAAGATAGTTCAATGGTGGGTTGAATCGACCACTCTCATACTTGGACTTAATGCATAACATTCTTGTATCAAGTACATTGTATAGGATGAAATGACAACTTTATGTACAAAAGATAGCCACTAAATTTGAAACCAACTCCAAATATTAAGTAAAACTTATTGTGATGAAAATAAAGGTTTTTATGGATGGATCAAAATACTAGCAAGAAAAACAAAGAAAACAAGGCACTGAAAATAAAAAATTATGTTTTGAGTAGAGGGAACTAACAATTTTTAGAACTATTTGCAAAGCTAATACTCACCAATGGTCAACAATCCTTGCTTCACTTTCCCAGAAAATTCCTTTTCAATAGCTTGAGGCACAGTATGTCCAGATAATTGACGATACTCAGAAAACACAAGGGTCAAATGAGCAAAGCTTCGAGATGCCATAATAGCATTGAATGTTGACTCATCAGTTCCCCAACAACCAACACCAGCATTGTAGAGACTCTGTTGAAACATTGTACCAGCCAGTATTCAATTTAAACATTTAGGTAATAATTTTTTAAACAACTCTTTCTAGACAAAATTTGTTAGCTCACTTTAATAACAAAAGTTCAATTAAACACTTCCTACAAAAACTTCTTTACCAACTTACTCATGTAGAAGCTTGGTTTTCATAACAGTTAAGCTCATACTTAAATATCTGTATTACAAGTTACTTATTGATGTCAGTATAATAAACTCCACTAGTAACTAATTGTTGGAACCAGTGAGGTTAAACAGACAAACTTACAAAATGAATTGTTTTTAATTCCACCTTGGTATAATCTCAGTCAGAACAAATAATTTGTTGTAGCCAAAACAAAAAATGGAATTTTGGCTTACTGTTCTAATTCTCTACCAACTAAGCTTCAAGCAAACTAATTTCAATTTTAACCATAATAACATATTTCACAAAAGTGTGTAAATATGTTGATTTGCTTTCTTACCTGAGCATCCACTTTGGCTTTAGCTGGGTCTGCAGGACTTTCATCTCTTCCTCCCTAAATGCATAAAACTTTACTACAGTTTTAAATAAATATGGACATAAGTGTCTACCATAAATGAAACAATTTTCCCAAATAAAATACCTAAATGGAAATTTCTTGAAAATTTAAAACTTAATCAGCCAGTTTAAACAAAAAAAAGACAGTATATGAGTCCACAGATTAGCAGACTCTAGATTTCTTAACATTTCACTGACCAAAATTTTCATTTCAAATTAGAGAAATTATTGGTTATTTGGTTATTCCACAGAAGCAAGTAATTCTGTTTGTATACATATAAAACAAAATAATTTCACTATAAAATCTGTCCTCCACCCGAAAAACTATTATTATTATCCTTTACAGTGATAATGCTTACAGTTTTTAAGACTGTCATGCGATACAAAGACGAGATTTGCATTGTTGTTTATATGCTAAAATACTCACTAACTGTTCATCAGTTCTACTACAGACCTGCAAATACCTGTGGCAATCAATTAAGTATACAAAATATTTTTTTTTAATTAAGTCCAGAAATTTGCAGTTTATACAAATCAGTTACACCGGGGAATAAAAAATAGTTGAGAAATAGTAAAAATATATATATAACTTACAGTTGTCATAGAAACCAGCAAACGCTTGAAGTCACCTGAAGTGTCACCTTTTATATCATTTTCCAAAGATTGGCGATATACTGTTTTATACAAACATGTAAAATATAAAAATTACTGCTATATAATCCTAGGAATAATCTCTATAGTTTTGTTACTAAAGTACCACATTCAATAAAAATATTTAAAATAATTTATACTAAGCACTATAAAGAGTAATAATCAAAGTAGGCTTATAGTGTATCCCTTTACACATTCCCCTTAGTGAAGAATTTTTCACAAATGAAATGTATAAATAATTTAATGTTGACCATCTTATCAATTCAAGTTAATACTACTTCAATATTTTTGATGAAGACTTTCATATCTAAATTATCTGAATTGGAGGAATTGCACAAAATCTTGAAATCAAAGTTGGTTGGATTGCCTTCACATTCACTGGGATAATGTTGGTAATTGTGTGGACTAGGTTTCATGGATTATTTCATAAATGCAGATAAGCAGTGAACTACTAATCCCACAATAATGATGTATGGGATGCAAATTATGAAAACTGGAGTATGGGAAGTTTATCTTTGAACAAAACAAACTTTTCATAAAAACCTTACATTTGAAAACATAAATAAAACTTGGGAAAAACTGGTTGAAAACTGCTTAAGTGGCCTTTTCAACCAACAAATGATACGGCATTAAAATGTTTCAAAGTTTACAATTCTTGACCAAAACCAGGAAAGACAATATAGGCATGGTGTTAAAAAATACTAATTAAGTTTTAAAATGAATGATTTAAAATTACTGAAATTAAAAATAGTAGCTCTTACTATTAAGAAAAATGTAAATAAAACTTTTGTTCATCTACAATAAATTTAATATTAGAATGATAATTGATAATTTAAAAAAGCCTTGACAAAGTTTTCCTAAATCTTTGAATATATCAGTAAGCCATTACTCTGACCATACATTTTTATCAAAAGATATAAATCATAGCTGTTTGAAGGCAAAGTCAATCTGCATAATAAAACGGAATTAGTCTGTCTATTAACATATTTTCTAAAGACTACATAACATGACAGTTACTTTATTCAATAGGCTATCTTGTATATAAATATATATTAAGCTAGAACAGTAAAATGGTTTAGCATACTTTCATTGGTTTTAAACTTTTAAAAAATTCAAAAGGTTTTTTTTCTTTTTATAAATGGGTCAGAAAATCAGCTAAATTATAAACAAAGAGGCATAATAAGATAATTATTTTTTCAGATATATTGAAACATGTGAGACCATAACCTCTTAACTTTTATACAAATAGCAGTGTTGCTGAGATAAAGAACTTATTCTAACAAAACTGTTATATTTTGCAAACAGAAATGTAACTTTGTTCTGACAGCTGATTTGTAAATTCTGACATAAACAAGGTGATTTCAAACAACTTTACATTTCTTGTATGATTCTTTTATTTCCCGTATGTCATGATTGTTTCTGGTACAAAGGATCTCAATCAGAGAATCTTCATCAGTGCCAACTCCAGAAATAGCATGATGTATCTCCGAGGCTAGAAACTCTACCATGGGAGTCATCATGGCCAAAATTACATCTTCAAATCTTCCACTCAATTCATTCTTGAGGTCCTTAATCAAGTCCTGAAAATATAACAATACCTCCTTTAAAATATCTTACTCCCTATGTAAATCACCATTATTTCAAGTATATCTCAATCACTGAAATGCCAAATAATTGGGTACATCTTGTTAGTTTCAAACATTATCTCATCATTAATTAAAATTTACAATATAACAAATCTGATAAAACAGACATTTTCAGAAATTAAATTCTTCATTTGTCAAAAGCACTCACATTATCAGCTTTTTTCAAAGTTTATCTTTTTTTTTTTATTCTTAAAAGTTTCTCATAAATACAAGTACTATGAAACAAATTTGCTACTCAAAGGTATTTAAAAACTTTATAAAGCAAAGAAAAGGAACACAGAAAATGTGTGACTGATTTTGTACAGAAAATATTCCAAATTTTGGTGACTCAAAGTGGATGATGAATCTGGACAGGCATCAAAATTAAGAACTGCTGAAATTAGAAAATAACAATTGGGAAACAATACTGGTATACTGTTGATAGATCTTTGGTTTCAACCTACTTAGTAAGGTCCTAGTTAATTTACTGCACAAAAATGGCTACAATAAAATAGAAAACAAAGATATGATCAAACTGTTTAATTTTCAGTAAAGTGTCACAAAATTAATGAAATCTACATCGATCTGTTGACTGGTGATTTTAACATGGTTTGGAAACCTACAACAGAAACATGGTAACAATGTACTTGACTTTCTACTTAGTGTATCAGTTGAAAAATATTTTTATACCCAACTAACTAATTACTGAATTAAAACCAGTTGTTGTTGTTCTTTTAATGCAAAGCTACACAATGGGCTATCTGCATTCCGTTAACTGTGAGGAATCAAATCCAGGATTTTTAACTTTGTAAATCAATTAACTACTGACCCACCAGGGGACAAAACCACTCCTTTTAGCATAGTTAAAAGATAAATTGAGTTATACAAAACATAAACTCGTAATCCTACTGCAAATCTTCCAGTGTCACTTCATTCTAACTAGTCTACTGTATTAAATTTTTTGGTATAAAAATTTTAAAACAACATAATTCCTTTTCAAATTTGATGACAAGGAACCTACTTTGAGAATAATAATGCTAGAAGATGGCTTGAATGGGTAATGAAGAAAAACTTTAATACAAGTTTAACATAGCAGCAAATTTATGTTTCAACAAGGTTTTGTCATCATCAAGTATGTTATGTTAAACTTATATTAAAGCTTTTCTTCATTACCCATTCAAGCATTATTAACATAATTCCTTGCTAGGCTAGTGATCACTTCAGTGGTTAACACGTTCAAAAACAGCACTGAAAGTTCTTCCAATTTTTTAGGTTTATTCAATAAGTTTGAAATTAGATTATCTTCAGTTTCTCAAAAATTATTTACTGTCTGATAATAAAGAGAAAACCAATATCTATTAACAGTCATACCTTTCCAAACTGGGTCTTATAAGAAACAGCAATTTGCTGTCTTTGTGAGTTGACACATCGAGTTAACACATTTATGATAGACTTTTCATCTGTTCCTGGAATGATTAATAATAAATAATAGTCACCTATTAGATACTGTTTATGTTACATCATAGTTTGAACAATGAATTCATAAGAAAAAAATATTACATGCTTTTAATACACTGAGATAACTTTAGTCACTAACCACAGAGTTATATCAAGTTTTACATGAACGAATTTAATGCTTTGCTTGGGCCAAGGAAACAGTGATAGTACATGAAGCACACTATTGTCTGTGTGTGTGTGTGTGTATAAAGTTATATTCCATTCTTTCTTTAAAGTTAGTCTAATTAATAGTATTGGTTATAATGTTTAATATATGGGTATATAAAGGGGAGAAATACTCAGCAAAAAATATATATATACAACACAGTATTCTGCTTATATCTGTAACTTATAATTATTTTAATAAAAAAATACAGACAACCAGTTTTACTGGTTTAAAGAAACAATCATAAGCAGACAAACAAGTTAGAAATTTCAGATGTTTTTTTTTCTCTCCCTTCTCATTCCAGTGAATCTCAAAAAGACATTATGCATGCTAATATTAGGAACAGGCAGAGATAACAGTCCATCAGCCAATAAAATATGTCATTTGGATATATTCATCATTACTGATCAATAATACAAATGACATAGCCAGGTGAGAATACCCACTTCATTCAATAATGATTGACATCCAAACTGCTAAATAACTTTTCCTCATGATCTTGTTGCCAAAAATAATAATAATGTCATTACATCATTTACTGGTTCATTTGAAGAATATCTAATAACTGTTTAGCTTATGTGAGTCATCACATGACTGTTTTCTGACAGTATGATGGAAGGCATGCAGGATGGATGAAAAGCAGATCAAATAAGTTCTGGCACTGATTACTTAAATTAAGTCCTGATACTAAGTACTGGCAGAATTTCATTTTTACACTTCTGAAGATTCTTTTTTTAATCTTTTAACTTAATATATAGATGTAGAAACAGCCCAAGTCTCTTAAGTTGGCTAAACCTCAAGAGATAATATTGGGCTCACAGCTGAAAATACTGATAACAGCGAGGTTACCCAACTGATGAAGCAAAGCATTTTGATCATTTTAAGTTCTTGTGTTATGACATTACAGTATCCTAGTTAGATCAGTATAGCTATAATACTAAGGTATTAGTTTTGTTTGTATTTCTTATTTGTGTTATTAGCTTGCTTTGAATCAGAAGTTATTGATAATTTAGAATCTGTTCAGTTTCAAACTTTCCCAAATGAATGGAAATTCTTTCACAAAATGTAGAATGAAAAATCAGAAACTTGATGAAGCAAAATGCATAAGAAAAATGATTTGTAAGTTTATGTATTGATAATAATAAATTAGATTAAATGATTGTGACTGTTAAATGTGGATAGAATCATTGTCGGAAAGATAAAGGGACATAATTGCATGACTATCTATATATGTACTTTTGTCTTGTAATTTAATGTGGATACAATCAATGTCAGAAAGATAGAGACATAATTGCATGACTATCTATATGTACTTTTGTCTTGTAATTTAATATGGATACAATCAACGTCAGAAAGATAAAGGGACATAATTGCATGACTATCTATATGTACTTTTGTCTTGTAATTTAAATGTGAATACAATCAATGTCGGAAAGATAAAGGGACGTAATTGCATGACTATCTATATGTACTTTTGTCTTGTAATTTAATATGGATACAATCAATGTCAGAAAGATAAAGGGACATCATTGCATGACTATCTATATGTACTTTTGTCTTGTAATTTAATGTGGTTAGAATCAATGTCAGAAAGATAAAAGGACATAATTGCATGACTATCTATATGTACTTTAGTCTTGTAATTTAATGTGGATACAATCAATGTCAGAAAGATAAAGGGACATAATTGCATGACTATCTATATGTACTTTTGTCTTGTAATTTAATGTGGATAGAATCAACGTCAGAAAGATAAAGGGACATAATTGCATGACTATCTATACGTACTTTTGTCTTGTAATTTAATGTGGTTAGAATCAACGTCAGAAAGATAAAGGGACATAATTGCATGACTATCTATACGTATTTTTGTCTTGTAATTTAATGTGGATACAATCAATATCAGAAAGATAAAGGGACATAATTGCATGACTATCTATATGTACTTTAGTCTTCTAATTTTGTGACATTTTGCAAAAATTCAAATCTATCTATAAAATACAAACTTGAAGACTGAATGTTTTGCCCCATTCACAGGAATATTGCTAATACATCATTATCATACACAAAGTACTAAAATGTATACGTAATACAGAATATCTCTGTGCCTGTAAATTTTGAAAGATTGAATTTAGTTATATAATTATCAGTGCACACTGAAAATATTACAGCTTTTTTTTCATTTTCCAGATAATTCTCATTGTGATGAAAAAAATAACTTTATTTCTTCTTTCTTATAGTAATTAACATAGATAAATATGCAAATCATGTCAGGTGCTGTTCTGTGATATAGAAATAAAAAATTGACAACCAATTAGGAATAGCAGGAAGAACATTGTGATTTAACCAATAAACCTGAATCATAATTGTGCACTAAACAAGTTATATATATAATGTAGCTCAAAAGTTTGGTGCAAAAGTATTATATCAATAGCACTGATAACAATATTGCACAAGTTTTTCGTTTTTCATTGTTTACATCATGTTCCCATATCTGTTATATGTCAAAATACTAATTCTAAGGAAAATAATTTACTCTATTGGTTTTGTTACCCAAGTAACTGCAATATAAAAGTTCTTAAGTAGACCCAAGTAATATGGTTTTAAAAGAAGTATCTGTTTTGTGCATGATTTTGAATTCACATAAAAGTATCCAATAATACAAGTTTGAATATACTTCAATTTATGGAATGACTGCACATGCTCATTGTGATGCTTTTCCTTTCTTACAGGCCAATAATTTTTTGCCATCCAAGATAAACTTAACTTCAAAAAGAAAGCATATATGATAAAGAAGGAGAACAACAAGTGATAAAGCAAGATCTGGACATATCCAGTTAGTTCTTATAGTCTTCACAATTAAATGGAATATAAGGTTGCCATACTGTTGTTTAAGAAACATGAAAACAATTCTTTTGTTAGATACAGGGAAACCTGTATGTTGATGGTGCACTGAGTGAGCTAAAATTCTTTAAGAAAAGTTTTCATTAAAAGAAACACAAGGTGAGTTTCAGATAAGAAAGAAACCAGAATGTTAAAGACTCAAGGTAACCAGTAGTAAATAAAATCTGAGGTGCTACTAACTTTGTATGTTAAGCACCTAGCTCAAATGACTCAAAATTAACTATGACTAGTAGGTAAAAAGCTAGTAGGTTATAGTATTCACACACTGACCATCTAGGAGCAGTTTCACATTCTTTGCCATTTGATAATCCAAATATGATTATGAATATTCAGACCAGTTGTAAACAATGGTCAAAATTACTTTTAAAAAATCTTGATGCAGGCAGGACATTTATGGAAACAACCATGCTAAATTAATATATCAATAAGCCCTTTTCCTAGTTTTTCACACACTATTCTCAACATCATTCAATGGGATTCCCCATCTTTGAAATAGCAAATAAAAACAGTGCAATCAAGTGGTGTTTCAGTTGTTTTAATTTTTTTTCTATTTCTTTTATGTTAAATATAAAATTCAATGGTATATTAGTAAATACTAAATCAAAAATGTATAGCTTCCTGGAAATTCAAACCAGGTGACTAATTACATCTGCTAAGTGAATGCAACTCAATGTTTTTGCTGTTGTTGCCACTGTTGTAACTTTTAATTCTACACATATGGGTTAACCTTGTAACCACCATGTAACTATGTATACACAATACAACTCTGAATGTACTAAGTGTACATTCATAAAATTTGGCAATCTTTTAATAAATATTACAAGTCTGCTGGACACACAATAAAATCCAATTTTTTAATAAAGTATATTCACTTAAGATTTCTCTTTGAATTTATGAAACCTTTACTGGGTGATTTTGAGTGAAAGGTGATTTTTCATGCTAAGAATAAAAATACTACTTTTCATATTACAATTTTCACACTTCATTTACATAACCTCTAGAACCCTCTTAAATGAATGTCTTTTTTGTCCTTTGGTAGAACTTAAATTCTCTACCATAACAGTATTCTTGATTATCCAGTCTGATGAGAAATTATCAAAGTAGAAGGAAAATAAAGGTTGAAAATGTGAAAGAAAATGAGTGGTACTGTTCTTTTTTTTTCCTTACTGATAAAGAGCTCCCATAGTATTTATCTTGAAAGTTTCTACTTCTATCCTTTTAACATCTGTTTTGTTTTTTACTGTTCCTGACTTAAAAAGTAGCCCTCCAACTATAAATCAATTAATCGTCACTGAAGTCATAAGACTATGTGAAACTGTAACACAACACTCTAAAGACTAAACAAGCACATAGTGAAGCACTTATGGAATGTGTCTTCCACATTTGAATGTAACCCCATATGGAATACGGAGAGGAATTTATTAGCTTCTTAACACTACAGTGTCTGCAACATGGTTTATCCAGTCACAGAAATGCACTTTGAATGTGTAAAATTGTTTATGATATGGCACTGTAGAGTTATTTGTGTTTGATGCTTACATAACCTAGTTCCTATTTGCACATACATGAATTTTGTTCATACAACAACCAATAAACACTTAGCTTACAGTAATATACAAGTCAGTTATGGTTTTAACTTAGCTCAGCTTGACATCATTTCTTACAAACTCTTGATTATACCATTGTCAGAGCAACACATTCTAAATCTAATGTGAACTACTGTAAAAGTCAGTTCTAAATTCACTACCATCACCTAGAAGTAAGTTATCATTATGCACAAAACTCAATAATTTTCTGTTCAATAACTTTAGTATGTAGTTGGTGATCAAAACCAAGCATAGCCATTTTTGTATTTTAGCATAGCGTACTATTTCTGAAGTCTATGATACACAACAAAATTATATTGTAATATGCATGTACTTTTTTTTTTACTTGCATCCATCTGTTCTTGAAATTTATTATCACTGTACCAGAAAATTCAAAATCAAACACTTGATAACTACTATTAACTGGAAGAAAATAGTTATGTATAATAAACATGGAATTAATAAACAGCTGGTAACCAAAATCTAGTGTAGCTGTTTCTGTATTATAGCAACAACATATGTACTGTTTCTAAAACTTGTGATACACAACAGAGAATACACAATTTTTTTTCTTTTAGAAATGGCATCTAAACAAAGTTTGTAAGACAGAGCAAAGACTATAATTAAGAAATACTGTTGTTTGTAAAAGGTGAGCTTGTGTCTCAGCAAGCTAGCCAGGTAGTTACTGTTACTGATTTAAAAAATAAAAATTTCAATACAAGTATTGCAATTTATAGTAACAGAAACTAATATTCACATTATAAACTATCTACTAGAATGAATCTTCCAGGAAAAGAAGAACCATTAAACAGACTAGTGTTACTGTTGAGAATATTTAACTTACTTTGGTTTATATAGCAACGGGTCTTAGATGAAGTTCTTCTACTTCTGACTAATAGTCTACTTATATTCCTTTACTAGAATTTTACTAGTGTTTTATTTAGGGACAAGTTATGGGCTATACATAACCATTTACTCTTCAATAATAATACTTATACTCTTCCTAGGACTAATCCATGTACCACAGGAACAACATAAACAATAAAGATCTCCATCTATAAATAAGGCCAACTGGGTATGGGTACTTCAATATAATGCTTCCTTTCACAAGCTAGAAAATGAAATGGGTATTCATACTATTACATATAAAAACAATGTTGCAAGGCTGTTGTCATGATCCATAGTCATCAGATAGAGCTTAAGTGTATATGACAATACAGACTGTAACAACATGGGGTGAGGCACAAAATAATTTTAACATATTCAATTTATGTGTGTGTGTGTATATATATATATATATATATATATATATATGTATATATTTATGATATTTTGATTTTTAAGCTTAAATGCAGTTAACTACACAAACAAATAACCAAAATTAGAAAGTTCCAAAGTGTTATAAAATCCAATACTGCCGTTACTTACCAAATCCTTTCATGGCTTTTCGTAAGGCTTGGGCATCAGCCTGTGGATCAAATGGCTTTGCTGGTACAACTGTGCCTTGTTCCTACAGAATTACAATTACCTGATAGTTATCCTGACTTTTCATACAATGTTAATTTTTCAATAAGAATTCAGATTAAACAAAGTGTTAGTTTGTAAGCAAAAGAGGTCATTTTAACTAGCTCATTACTAGGCAACTACCTTCCTTTTCATACATTTTTTAAAATTTTACATTTGAATTTATTTTTAGAAATAAGAAATATAAAAATAACATGTTCTTCTATATATACATCTGTATATTCTACTTCTACATAAATATTTTTTTTATATTTTCATTGCTAACAATTTTTTTTATAAACCTTACATTCTGTCTTTAAGCTTATGGGCTACTATTTACTTGATTGTTTTCAACAACTGAATAAGGGGTTTTGCTAAAAATTAGCTGTCAGAACATAACATCAACTAAACATTAATGTCACTGACCTTGTAAAATAACTTAATTAGAGCTATTGAATATCATTTAGTCAATTCACAGAAAAGTAAAACATATAATTATTAAAGTGCACTGAATTACCACGAGTAGAATTATGTAACAATGCTTTGTATTATTTACCACATTGATAAACATTATGCTCTATTAATTAATGAATTCAAAATGTTAGAATATTTCAAAATTTTTTAAATTACAACTCATTGTGCTACTAACCTGGGCCATTTGGTCCCTATATTTACGGCCTACACATTCTTGTGAAGTTACTTTCTTTGCCACCTCAAATCAGGACTTAAAAAGCTTTTATGTACTCCTATGTAGGGAGGGAGTCTAATAATTTGAACAGTCATATCTTGAAATTTATACTTTATGATCACAATAAACTTCTTAGTTTTAAATAGTATGGTATATGTGTCATCAAGTTGTCAGATATTTCTGGGGCTATTCCTATGTTTAGGCAATAGTGAAACTTCTTCAATTAAAGGTATTGATTCATCTTCCCATTTTCATACATTTATATGCCATTTTACAGATAAGTTTGACCCATAAAAAGTATTCTTTTCTTAAGAAATTTAGATTTTGAAAAGTACCCTCCTAGTCACATTAGTGAATGGCTCTGGGTTTGTTTTATTGGATTTTGCATGAAGTTAGGTGGGGATTATCTGTGTTAGCTGTCCCTAATTTTGAAGTGACAGATTACTGTGAAGGTAGCAAGTAAACTCCACCCACTGCCACCATTTGGGGTACTCTTGTCAGACCAGACATTCGGATTTGACCATCACAATTATAAGTTAACAAAATATTTTTAGTTTTCAGCTCCACAGTCCAGCATGCTAAACACTTACCTGTGCTGGGCCTGCCTCAGGAAGATTAATCACTCAAGGTGACAAGATCTGAATGCAGTAATTTGTAAAACTTATATATTAATGAAACTACTCTTTTTTTTGACAATCTTACTTTTAATTAATTACTTGTTAACTTGTATATTTATCACATACGATAAATGCCGTGTAAAATAACCAGTTAATCAAAACTATGATTAAATATAATGTCACAAACATAATCAACTACTCAAAATTGATATTTGCAATTATTACAACTATTCAACTAATTGAAATTAGTGTTTCTGATTATAACTGCTTTTTATTATTCCAATTATTTAAGTAATCAAAATATTACAATTATGATTCCTTAATATTATTTACAATTACTTCAAGTTTGTTCAGCTTAATCAATTAGTGTTGTGACTCACAAAATACTGCCATTATGATTCCTTCTTATTTTTTTTTATGAATTTAAGTTTGTTCAGCTTAATTTATTGGTGTCACAATTCATGAAAATAATCAATAAATCCAATTATTACCATTTTCTATTATTCCAACTACCCAAGTAATCAAAATAATGTTATTATTATTTTAAATTAATTCATGTTTGTTCAGCTTAATTATAGTTATGACTCACAAATATTGCGATTATGATTCCTTCTTATTTTTTCAATTAATTCAAGTTTATTCACCTTTGGACTAACACGGTCCAATGATTAGGGAGTTTTCCAAAGGTCTTTGGTTTCATTTTTGTTGCTATCCAAAATGCAAGTCCTTTAAACCATGAGAACATATTTGTTTATTTGTTTTTGAAATTATGGTAAAGCTGCTAAGACTATCTGCTACTGTTCCTAAGTTTGACCATACAACTAGAGAAAAGGGAATCAGCCAGCAGCTCCCACCATCAACCTTCGGCTACTTAAAGCGAAATTTACTGTTATATTACATTTGTGCTATGTTTCTAAATAATTAAATACAATAGTATTTAATAGTAGGGATTGTCATGAAACAAAATGGCAGCCATAAAAACCACCCATTTAAAATGTCTGAATATTAACAATGATTATTTCACAGTATTGGCTTAGCAAAATTAAAGCTGATTGTTTTTATAAAACTGCCTAAATTGCTATATATATGTATTTATGGAGTGAATCAAGTAAGTATTATTAATTCTATTAAGAAAACAAAAAACCAATAAACCACATGGGAAGTAAATATGCTATAGAAGAAAAAAAAATATGCACATTTGCCAAGAGAATAAAAATAAGCCCTTTAATCTAAGCAATTTTGAAAAGACAAACCTACATGTTTTCTTAACATCATGCTAAATGAACAGAAATGAAACAAAAAAATCTGATAATAACTTAATTTTTGATTTGATGGAATGTATAAAAAAAATATTGAATAATGCTTAATAAAAATATTTAAGAAACAAAATTTCTTACCTGCATACCATTGGCCTAATGTGCAATAACAAACATTTAATAGGGATAGTGATGTTTGAAATCAGTCAACAACCTTAAACCTTTCTGGCAATTATTATTATTTTTTTTATATGTTTGAAGAATGTTTAAAATAAGTATTCCATATATTGAACTCTGACATTTCTTAACTTTTCTATGAACATCAGTATTGTTGGTCAAATCTTGTGTATTCTTGAATGTCTTTTGAAAATTAATTTTCTTTCCAATAATAAAAGATGAATTCATTTAATTGACATCTGAGTTAGGCCTATGGCCAAAACAATTCATATATTTTAAAACTTTTATTTGCGAGTGTTTTTAAGGTAATAAAGGTTATTAACTTTATTACTTATATAAGAATTTGTTTGAAAATATCACAAAGTAATAATTATTTTCACAAACAAAAATTCAGTAGTTTCAGTAGCCTTGTGGAAATTTGTAGGGAGAAACCTATTAAATTTAGCCAGACAATTAAATGATTAGCACAGTCCACCAATCACTCAGCTCTATTCATCATTGTACTTGTAAATGTCCTAGAGAAATATTGTAATTAAAATGTTTAAGTTAAAAATAATTTGTTCACATCTTTTTCATTTGTACTGACCTTTGGCCCATTTATTATGAGCTGATGCATCTAAAAGTTAACAAACTTATGCATATAAATATATAAAATATAGCTTTTAAGAAAACTTATTTCCTGAACAAGGCTTACCAAAGATAACATCTTAGCATGTCCACTTCCTCCACTAGTTAGAGGTGATGCACTTCGATTGAAATCACCGGGATAAGCTGGAGAATGCTGAGGATATAAAGATTGTGCTGGTGCCTGAGGTCATAGGTTAGATAACAAGTTACTTTAAAATAAAGACAAAAACGTATCACAAATCTTTGATAGGTTGTTTAGGCAGAGTATTCATAATGAATCTAAGTTTCAAATGGACAGCAACTGCCTGTTGTAGAAACCTACAAATGTAGAGAACAATGTTTCAAAAGTCTTCTGCCTTTTTGTCTTCACTGACCTGAAGATGAAAGGCAGAAGACTTTAGAAACATCGTCCTCTACATTTGTATGTTTTTACAACAGGCAGTTGCTGTCCATTTGAAACTTAGATTCAGTCTCACAAAATTCCTCAGACCAAATTTTGGAATCACATATTTTTCACAAGTAACAATTAAATCACTAAACAATTTAAAGAACCTGTATAAAAAACACTATGAACTACACCTAAAGTCCATATAGCTATATAATGTCCGAGCATTTTGCTATTACACTTACAAGTTAGTAGCCAAAGTACTAACATGTTTCAACAGCTAATGCAATCCCTATTTCCAACTACTTTTGTAAGGGATCTTAACTGTACATTTTCCAACTATCTTTCCATGCACAAACTAATTGTCAAGTTACTCAGAAGTTCCAACAGCCAATACAAAAAACCCACTTTGAGCCACATTACAAGGGGAGTTAGGTGTACTATGTCTGAGTGTCCTATTCCAAAACATTTTAGATATGCTGTAGTCAAACTCCTAAAAAGTTTACAAAAAAATTAATTGCAATCAACTCACTAAAAAGTTTCAATTCTTTGTTAAAGGATTTGTCATTAATATTTTGTTGATCCTTTATTTAATTATATACTAACTGGCTTTCACTTCTAGTGATAATTATGGCGAAATCCTATATACAAAAATTGGAGATAATAGCAACCATTATATATATAAGCACAGCTGACAGGGTATACAAATGCACAAAACTATTAAAATAAGTTAATTTATAATATTCTTACTTATTCATCTGAAGCCATATATTCTAAATTTTTATTTTTGCACAAAAACCATTTTCATTAGTTTTTGTGACATTTCTTGTAATCACCTCTTCGAAGAGAGCTAAAAACATATCAATACTACACGTGTTTGTAGCACTTGCTTTTTGCTTATTACCTGGCATTTATGATGATATACTTTATTATTTATTAGAATCAAAAGTTAATTATTGCAGAAAAGTGCAACACTTAAGCTCCTACACACAAATGTTTTCCATTGTGGTAATTCACAAAACACATACTTTACCTAGGTACAAATAAGTATCAAAATGACATTTACACACAAATGTTTTCCATTGTGGTAATTCACAACACACATACTTTACCTAGGTACAAAAGAGTATCAAAATGACATTTATACACAAATGTTTTCCATTGTGGTAATTCACAACACACATACTTTACCTAGGTACAAATAAGTATCAAAATGACATTTATACACAAATTTTTTCCATTGTGGTAATTCACAAAACACATACTTTACCTAGGTACAAATAAGTATCAAAATGACATTTACACACAAATGTTTTCCATTGTGGTAATTCACAACACACATACTTTACCTAGGTACAAAAGAGTATCAAAATGGCATTTACACACAAATGTTTTCCATTGTGGTAATTCACAAAACACATACTTTACCTAGGTACAAAAGAGTATCAAAATGACATTTATACACAAATGTTTTCCATTGTGGTAATTCACAAAACACATACTTTACCTAGGTACAAATAAGTATCAAAATGACATTTACATTATAATTCACATTTATATACACTAAATTCACAACACATTTTTGTCTTACAAGTAATTAAAAGTAAAGTTTAATACTCTATGTGTATGTATTATATAATTATGTGAAAGTTTTGTAGGCTTAACTAGAATAATGTAATGTCATTTCTAAGTTGATTCTACAGTCTCCTAACAATTTAGCATAACATTACATTACAAAAATTTGAAATTTTCATAAATTAAAATTCCAATAAGGAAGTAAATGAATCATTGAATTGGTAGTGCAATGTAGATGTAAACAGCTAGTGTTGTTTGACTTACAAATGTGCAACTACAATAGATACAACTGTTCTACTAAATATGAAACATATTTGCATGTGTGTGTGTGTGTATGTTAGAGCTGGGTGATTAACTTGGTTATCTAGAAGCTTCAATTACGTTGATTAACACAAAAAAGTCAATTTATCAAAATTACCATTAAATCATTTGATGTTATAAAAATAAGTAATTAGAGTTTCTGATTGTTTTTGATTATTTAAACTATCCAGAAATCATAATTATGCTTAAATCAATCACCATCACAAAAAATAAACTAACTAAAAATAGTAATCAAAATATTACCATTATGATTTTTAATTATCATTTTCAACTAAATCAAATTTGTTCAGATTAGTTGATTAGTGTCACAACTCACAAAAATAATCAACTAAATGAAATTAGTATTTCTGATTATTACTATTTCTAATTATTCCAAATATGCAAGTAATCAAAATATTGATATTATGGGTTTGTTGTTAAACACAAAGCTACATAATTGGCTGTCTGTGACCTGCCCACTAAGGGTACCGAAACCTAACTTTAAGGGTTATAAGTTTTTTTTAGCTGTCTCATAGGAATAATTTAGTAGTTGAATGTAATCAATCAATGAGCCCAATGGTTTATCAACTTGCAAAATCCACTAATCACCCAGCTCTAGCGAGTGTGATACTTCGAAAAGTAACATATACTTTCTCTCTCTTATAGCTTGGAAAGGTAATAAGTTAATTGACTGAAATTTTCAGATATATGCATTTTTGAGTGTGATACTTAAAAAGATAATATATATTATTTTCTCTCTCTCTCTCTCTCTTTGCTTGGAAAGGTAAGCCATTTCGTTCACTGAAATTTTCTAAAACTTTCAGGTATATATACTTAAGAGTACTTTGCATGCTTTCAAAACAGGAAGTCTGTCTTGTGCAGTACTGAATTTATTTCTATGCCAGTTAAATATTGTCAAGGCATGCATCTCATTTTGATACTTTCAAACATTTCCCAAAGCTTGGAGATTAAACTTTCCCTACTTTCATTTTGACCAACCGTGATGTAGGTACCTGTTCTCCAAGAGAGATAACATTATTCCCACGTTTATAAGATCAAAATCTCACGATATCTTGAGAACAGATAGAGAATTAAAACTTCCTCATTTTGATCTATAAGTGACATCTGACTTTATTGCACTTATCTTTTCACTTGTTGCTGCAAAGTTAAATAAAGAACTTTAACATTGGGTTTAGTCTACAACATAACACTACATTAACATATTCATATTGTTCTTATATAGTACAAATAACCCTCAGTAAATGAGTTCTTGCATGGCATAAATTTTTTTCCCAACCAGGTAAGTTTCAGAACTTCACATTAATATAAATAAAAAGGATCAGACATGGTGCTTGTTAAGTTTCAGAAAATACTACTGTTTAGTTACTAAGGCTACCTGCTACTGTCTCTAATTTTGAACTGCTGACTAGAGGGAAGGCAAGTGGCTAGCAGCACCCACAGTCAACTCTCTGGCTATTAAATAAAGTATAAATTAACTTTTAGCATTGTGATATGTTTCTAATTCATAATTGCATAACTGTATTCTTTAATATTTTATAAACAGGTGCAGATTTAGGGGAGGGTTCCAGATTAACAAAGTAATTTATTCCTAAATTATAGTGCCTAAAAAGAGGATTTCTTCAGGCATTTAATATATTTTTGACACAAATTTTTAAGGCCATTTTATAGGGTAATTCTAATTCCATTTAAACAATTTTTAGTCAAAAATATTTTAGAATCAATATTTTGTCATTTTCTAACATCTATTTAGTGTAATTCATGAAGAAAAAGTCTACATTTTCATCTTAGTGTAGCTGCAAATAGTTTTGTTTGTAAACAAAACAACCTAATTGTCAATCCTTTTTTTTTTAGAATTTTTCTGCACCTTTCAAAGAATAATTTTACTTTGCTAAGCATCTATCAGCCCTTGAGAATATGTTATCCATTTCTTGATTTTCAAGGGTTTCCCTTAGTTTTTGTACAGGCCTTGGTTAAAAAACCTAATTTGGGTATAATGTCACATCAAGTGGTCTGATAATTCACTCAAACAAAGTTTTGAAAGTTATCAAGAAAGATTAAATATGATTGGATAGAGCAAGAATTAGACTATAGCATATTAATAGAGTAAATTTATAAGTTTAAATGTTTTTCTATAGTTTCTGTAAACATTCCTTTCACTTACTTTCATCGTGGATTGTGAAAGCATTTGTGTGTTAAATTAAATCTGTTTGAAAGCTATAGAAATTTTCTTCAATGAGAAGACAGATAACTTGAAATATAGTAAACTTGTACAGTTTAGAGATGGGTTAAATGGGTAACAAAGAAAACTTTAATATTTTAACACAATAACAAATGTACAATGTTTGGAGAAGGGTCTGTCATCATCAAGTACAAATAGTTAAACTAGACACAAATATATATATACAATACATAGAAAGAAGTCACACAACTAGAGATTGCTTAAGGCTTAAGAAACAAACATCTTGTTGATGTTTGGTTCTTTGTTTAGAATTACAGTTAACTTTTAACAGATATTTTATGATTTTATTGAGTTGCAAAGTTTCTAAAAATTAGGTTTTTATTATGTTCACCAAATAAAATCATCATCAAATTAGATAAGTTTACTGTTTAGTGAATATGGAAAAATATTCTGATAATTCAAATCTTTGTTGAATTCTATTTTTTTGTTTATGCTGTTCTATTCAAACAATAGACAAATATATTGGCTAATTAATTATTTGTAATTGCAATCATGATATGCTTTAAATAAAAACCATCCCCTTATCGGGAATAGTAAAAATGTTTTAATTGTTTAATTATCATTATATTTTATTTACAGAAGATCAATGTGGATTACTGTATATTTGAAATAGAAACATAATGGCAATCTCATAGTGATAGTTAGTCAACATTAGCAAAATGTCCATGAAACTTGTGGCAAAATATTTTTTAGACAAAAGATATGTTTTTCACAAAATGTGCAAATGGCGACCTTAAGAAAAATCTCTCATATGAAATCAATGGTAAATTGAAAATTACTTGATAAAAAAACAAAACAATGCAAATGAAAATAGGATGATTAAGTAATAGCATGTTAGAATAATGCAGTTATTGTAAAAGTTATGAAGGTGGTGCACAACCATTGTTTTTCTTATACAACCTGTAAGGGGACAATGTACTAATTGATTAATGAGCCCATCAATTAAGAAATACCACTAATCACCCAGTTCTACACACGAGTTCCTGGAAATTCTGAACTGTGGAAATCTAATGCATACACACACACACACACACACACACATATATATATATATATATATATATATATA